TATATATATTAGTGGCAAAGAACTTGCTTTTAAGCTAAGTTCATAATGTCTAATGTGATTACACTATTAGTTTTAAACAAATTTCAGGTGCACTATTTCAGACTTATTTCTAACCATTTATGTTTATTAAGCCTCCGACTGAACGAAAGGAATTAAATAAAATATATGTTACGAAATTTTGCTTTTTTTATACAAAGTACTCTAAAGAGAACGAAAGCTTTGGTTGTGAATTAATCAATTAATTGTTTTCGCTTAGATCAACACAATGTGTTGGAGTACATTAAATTTGTGCAGATCATGCAACGTTAAATTGACGATGATTAAACATAATTAGACGGAAAATGGATCTGGAAATGTCTTATTAAAATCTAGGAACAATTCAGAAGCTTCGGTTCACGTATGAATCGAATTCGCTTCATTAACAGACTCATTTTAACCGTTTGCGTTTCGGATTCTTATTAAGAACTCATGAAAAAAGCGTGCCTTTAAGAAAAACCTGATATTAGGTTAACGTATAAATTAAATGAATTTTTTTTTCAGTTAGCTATCAATTTTGTTTAAAAATACAACAAGAGGAACAAGATATGTAGCGCAACTTAGATATTTTATATTATTAACATGTTTTGATTGATAGGAATATTCAGTTTTTTCCAATTTAAGTGCTAAGATTAAAAGGCTAGAGTTAGCAGTCTTTATTTTGAAAATAAGACGTTGATCCGGGAAAAAATTAAGCAAAAGCATTTAAAAAGTTGATGAATAGTAGAATGTTCTGAAATTTTAATTCATTAATTCAGTTTGTTTCATATCGGAAGTGAAGATTTTTGAGAGTTCGAAGGTTTTTTTTTTTTTTTTTTAACAAAAAAGACATAAAAAAGTGATGGTAAAACGAAAAAGAAAGAAAACTATGTCAGTACTCGTTGTCTTTCAAAATAATCTTGTGAAACATAAAAACTTTAATGCCCACCCGACAGAATGCATTTCGCTGCCTACATTTAAATATTCTAATTTTTCAACCCTTCTTCCAATCCTGACACCTTAATAAGCTTTAAGCAAAATATTAACTAATTTTTTTTCATCGCCCAGTACTTTGATTATAAATCTAACAAGTTTCAAGAGATGTCCGCAATATTGTTAAAGTTTTCTGTGTATTGAATTTCAGTAATAATTCATAATCCATCCAGCAGCCATTAAATCACGCAAACCACCGTTGGTATAAAATCAGGACCTTTCAGCATAGTAGAAGACATCAGAAGTATTAAAATTTTTTCCATCTCTGTCGTGAGATAAGATAGAAAACTCATACTTAAATGTAGTGACTTTCGATCCATAACTTGAGTTTCGTAGAATATACTATTTATTGATCGAAAAAGCAAGTTTTTTCAGCATCTCTACAAGAAAGAAATCAAAATAATAAATTCGCAACAAAGTTGTTATTTCTATAAAAATAAAAATTATTCTAAATTGATACTTAAACTACTTAAAAATACAAAACTACTTAAAAATATAACCTTATATATTTTTAAATGCAACCTAAAAAATACTTATATTGTTACTTAAGGCAAACCTGACGGAACAAATAAAACAAAGGAAAATTATAGACATATGAAAAGGGGGGGGGGAATAATAATGAAAAAAAGTAATCAACAACTGATTAAAAAGAAAAAAAGGATGAAATTGTTTTTAAAAAAACCGGAAAATAAAAGATATAACCTTTTAATCAGCCCACATGATTATAACCACAAAAAAGAGTGCTTTCTGATATTGTATCAATATAGCTAAAGCAAAATATATTAATACAATACACTCAAAAAAAAAATTTCACTAAAACTACAACAAATAAAATAGAACACAATAAGTAAAAATAACACGTAAAAACAGAAAATAAAATTAAATAAAAAGAAAAAACAGTATAAAACAAACTCTCTGAAGCGAGTAGCGAAATCAGATGTACTTACATGAACGGGAAATTTTTCAAGAATGATTTAAAGATATTTTCGCAACAAGATTGACAGATTACAAAATATGAGAACAAAAGCGCAAATTGAGTGCAACTAGAGGAATTTAAAGCGCCGTTCTTACTGCATTGCTGATGTGATTTGTTATGCCGTGCATTGATTTGTTGCGCATGGTAATATTATACTGGATAATTTAAAAAGTTGACCATTAATAATTTTAGAAAATAAAAAAATATTTAATTAAGAAAAAGTTTAAAATAGAAAAGAGAAACATAAATTGCCTGCTTTGCAAATAATTTTAGCCATGGATTTGCCCGAAATGGATTTGCACATGGAAAAATTATATAAATTATCAAAGAAAAAATTTTTAGTTGATAATTTTAACACGGATTTGCCCGAAATGGATTTGCAGATGGAAAAATTAATAAAGAAATTTTTAGCAAGTAATTTTACCCACGGATTTGCCCGAAATGAATTTACACATGGAAAAATTTTATTAATTAATAAACAGAATTAAAAGAATATGTAGTAATATTTATTTATCCAAAAAAAAAATCGATAAACTCTTTCAAAATTTGATAAAAAAAACAATGGATACCCAACTAAAGTAATAAAATTTTATGTAAAATCTTTGAATTAATCGTATATTTTTGTGAAAATATTTACTAAATATTTTCTTTGTTAATTTTTATAATTTTTCCATGTGCAAATCCATTTTGGGCAAATCCGTGGGTAAAATTACTTGCTAAAAATTTCTTTATTAATTTATACAATTTCTGCATGTACAAATCCATTTCGGGCAAATCAGTGTTAGAATTATTTACTAAATTTTTTTTTCTTTGATAATTTATGTAATTTTTCCATGTCAAAATCAATTCCGGGCAAATCCGTGGCTAAGAAATTACTTGCAAAACAGGCAATTTATGTTTCTCTTTTCTATTTTATATTTTTTCTCAAATAAATATTTATTTATTTTCTAAAATTATTTATGGTCAACTTTTTAAATTATCCAGTATAATATTACCTTGCGCACATCCATTTCGGGCCCTTCCTTGGTAACTAACAAATCAATGCACAGCATAACAAATCACTTCAGCAATGCAGTAAGAACGGCACTTTAAATTTCTCTAGTTACGTACATGACGACGTTGGGAACAATTTTTTAGTTGTATTTATGCAAATACTTGAATTTACCTGATTCGAGGATTTCAAATCTGAAATTAGTTTTATTCAGAAAGCTTACATTTTTTTGAAAATGGTATTTTTGGTTTGTTTGAGTTTACAAGTTATATAAAGAACGTATAGGTTTTTTTATACATACTGCTGCTTTCAAAATAACTTCTTGGACCAAGAAATCTGACCTAAACGTTTTACTTTATATAGTACTAAAATATAGTGTCGTCTTCTTCTTCCCTGTTTAGCAGAGAATTGACTCGGGGGAATATTAAAAAGTATTTTTGTTTTGGAATACGTTATCAAATTGCAGACAAACTGTAACTTGTAGATTGAAACCGATTGCAGATTAAAAATTGGCAACATGAAGACATCTAAGATCCGTTCAACATAAAATAAAACTCTTCTTTAGTGTCCTAATATTTTAATGTCTCTCGCGCATAAGTCATAAAGATTGATGATAAATTGAGAGTTTTGAGCAAGTAAAAAGGGCAGTAAACAAAAAAATTTTCTAGTGGCAGCAAAATTTCTGTTTTAATGTATCATTCTTAGTTTAGTAAATTTGGTGTTTGTTATTTTTCCCATTACTACATACAAATTCTTAAAGGTTGAACATTTTGAAATTTTCGTAATTCTTCAATGTTCCATAATTTACTCATATTTTCGTAAATTTTCATACATTTCTCTTTCGCACGAGTTGCTTCTTGTTTGTTTAATACTTTTTTTTCGAGTTATTTTTGTCATTTACTAATTACATAAATAAAACTACATGCATCCATGCGACATGTGCAACAAAAAAAAAAACTTACATTAAAATATGGAGTAAAAATATCGATGAATAAAATTTAAACAAATTTAATATGGTAATGAAACGCTTCTTAAATTAAATATTTAAGAGTTATTATAAAATAATGATATGCGAAGAAAGGATCACCCTGAATAGCTTTCGATCTAATGATACAATCTTCACGTTCTAGGACTCAGTCTTAATGGCTTAAGGTGGTGATTTCAAATAAGTTACTTAATAAGTGCAAACGATATTTTAAGTAACGAAATCAGACGTAAAAATGAATTTTCCATGAATAAACATACCTTTTTTTTCAGACGAATTCGGATTTTGACCCCCAAAATATAAGGGGCAGTTTCAATCTAGAAAATAGGGTTCCCAAGTTATGTCAGGAGAATACTCCAAAGTTTGGACTCCTTAGTGTTAATTTTACTTTTTGCGCAGTTCGCTATACCTCGAAAACGTTTGAACCGCATTGAAAATCTTTTGCACACGATTATAAAATTCGCTTATCCAAAGAGAATTTCCTGCAAAAAATAAATTTTAATATATATTTATTATTTTTCATTATTGTATTTAATAAAGGTCGAAAGAATTTTGAATTGTAAGGTACACAATCGTTTAGATCATTTTAAAGAATGTAATTTTGCAAGAAAAAATACAGAATTTGAGCAAAGATTGAGTGGTTGAATAGTCTCTGAGAAATCAAATTTTAAATACCTGAAACTTTAGAAGCTTAATTTCTGATTAAATATTCGACAGATTTTGCTCAAATTTTGCATTTTGCCATGTGAAATTGCATTCTTTAAAATATTGCAAAATTTTATACTTCACAATTCAATTTTTTATTTTGCTCAGTGTGCCTACATGAACGTAAGGTCTACTAAAAAGACAATTCTTTATAAATTTAAAATGTGTTATATATTTCAGTGATTGATTTGAATTATTTTCTGTATGCAGAAAATGCAGACCTTGCAGGCGAGTGAGTGACCATCGGTGGACAAATGGAGACCTGAACATGTCCACCTCCAATGCAGACGGCGGACGAGGGGATTCCACAACAGTTGAAGACAAAACATTCAACGAGACACAAAAGGTAACTTTTCTCACTTGTTGTCTAATAATGGTGTCAATAAATTTTTTATTGGCTGAAAAATCACGTGGTAGCATCCAGTTTTCCCCCATTAATTTCCATTCTGATTTGGTTGTCATCACCATAAAATTGATACAAGTCATAAAGTTATTTTTTTCCTATAAATATTTTTGTTTTCCTAGTTTAACGGTTAAAATTACATGTACTCTTGTTATGACGTTTTTTATTTTGTTTGATTTCTAAATTAAGAGTTCAGGAGGATTGTTTTTATTATTACTAGAATAATGTAATTCTTCGTTACATTTCGAGATAAAGTTATTTAAATAGGTGTCTGATCTAATAAACCGTTTTACAACTATTATTTTTTGGTGTAAATGACATTAATATACTATTATGAATGACGGTTAATGAGAATAGTTAAATGATTTAGAACTTAACTTTCAGCTTCATGCACAAAGTGATGAAAGCGAACATTGTATTTAAAATATACATCCGTCTGTTTGGTAAGCAAAAATATTAAATTACAATTGAGAACTCACCAAATTTGTTATAACAATCAATATACTTTTAATTTTAAATGTTATTTCAAAAAATGACTACTTATACTAAACTGCAATGTTTCTTGACAATGGAGAAATATGCTGAGGGAAAACGAAGAAAATAGTTCCTGGCGCGATGTCTGTATTTCGAGGAAAATTACGCATTTCACAATAGAAATATGATAAGTTATCTTAACCCACACATATATAGCGTTAATTTGCTATAATTTTCTTAAAATTTTATATATTTTCAGATTTACGAGCGGCGCATCGCGGAATGGTATCTTTATTTAGTTATATTTCTTCTATATAACGACTGAACTTATTTCTCCTTCTTCCTCCGCCAGCCGTGACTTCATTGTCAAGAAACTTTGCATTCTAGTATAGAAAAATTATTTACCTCCACGTGGGAAGTGGAGGTACAAGTGTTCCTGTTAGTAGACATATTTTTAGTTGAATAATTTCAACTGTTTTATGCACAGGAAATTATTGCGAAGCAATCGTCGGTGTTAGTGAGCGTAAGCGAACAGGGGGCCCTTAGTAATGATAAAATGGTTATTCATGCGACGCCGTTGAAATGTTTTCATTATTACAATCCTAAAGAAATAAATGCATAGCTTAGATAGCTATGATGATTATTCAACTATAAATGCTTAGTTTACATATTCAGATCAACCTCTCTGGCTTGATCAGTTAATTATTTTACTATCATTATCCGTGTGGTATAAATATTGCAGAAATCTAAAATACTAATGGGCTGCCCCCCCTGCTCGCTAGCGCTCGCCAACCCCCGAAAATTGCTACGCAATCTTATATGGTTTGCTTCGCAAACCAAGCTCGCTTCGCTAGCTACTAACTTAGGTACATTGCAAATGCACAAGATTCTAAGAATTCAAAACAATCATTCAAATCCATATAAAAAACTTTTTTTTAAAAAAAAATCTTTTAGTAAATACTAAGTCATTAAAATAAATTTGAATTCAAATAAATGACATGTAATTTGCTAAACTTATTAGAAATGTGCTATAGTATAATTCGTGATATAAATCAAAAATCGTCAAATAAATTCGTAACATATAAATTCGTGAAAAAAGCGCTTTCGACAAAATACTAAAATAGAGATCAATCGACAAAGACTACTCACTTCTGCCTAGTTTAAGAGAATGGGATTGCCGCAGCTGATGCTCTCTGGTTAGTTCAGTTTCCGTTTTTAAAAGTGTTGTATGTTGAGCCACCTCATCTAGATTTGGCATGTGACATTTTTAGCAGCAATCATGGGTCGATTCGCCGTGTAAGAGAAATAGTAACGTAAACAAAACGAAGAAAACGTTGCCATCGGCGGAAAAGAAATACAGCCAAAATTTGGGAGCCACGTAAGAGAATTATATATATTAGATTCTGGGTTGACATCTCTTAATACCAATCTGGCTGGCGTCACCTATAATGAAAAGCAGTACAGCAAGCAGACGATGATATTTTCAGCACTACATGCAGACGATGATTTTGGAGCTTCTCGATATTGATTGTTTGATTATGAGAAGGCGTTTGGAGTTGAGTAAATCCGTTACTGGAAAATGTAAAACTATTGTCGGTAAAAAAGTTGAACTACCCGTTACTTGAGCAAAAAATTATTGAATATCATAAACCAAAGAATTTACACTATTTGTTTCTGATGTCCTAACGTGAAATGATTTGTATGGAATATCATCTTAATGAATTTGAATGGATGCGAAATCTTCATAATGTAAATAAATGTCTTTATTATAAAAAAAAACTATTCTAACACTCGTCGCAGTACGTGCGTCAAAAAAGTAAAATAATGGTAGGTATTTCATTTATATTCCATTACTCAATTAATTCTTTTTAAATTAAAAAAAGAGAACAAATTTTCGTGCAAGTGAATAATAGGTATCCCTAATGGTGCTCTTGTTGAAACAAACACCTTCATTGAAATATAAAAATATAGAAAGGACCGACAGTAAATCAAATCAAATCTATCAAATTTATGGAAGAGAAGATTAATTATATCTTTTATTATTCTGATAAGTGCAATTTATGAGGGTATGGATTGCTTTGGATTGAGCTCTATTATTCCAGAAATCGTTAAACGGCAGGATTGAAAGCTGTCAAATAGGTTATGGAGATGCCAAATAGGTTATAAAGATCATTTCCCAAAGTTTCAGGAATTTGTGCAAAAGCATCATTGACGCCCTCTTATCTATTTTGCTTGAAAAAAAAGGGAATTGTTATAAAGTTCTTTATCATTCATCTTAAAAGAAAATTTTTCATTATCAATTATAAATATTTCAATCTGTGAAGGCTTACAATAGAGAAGAAGACACCCTTAATCCGAGATAGTCATCGTAGAGCAGTGTCGTAGTAGGTCAAGGGTACAACATCCCTGAGAATCTTACCAGAGGGGTCATTTAAATGATATAAATTTGATAATATAAATTAAATATAAATTTGAAATGAACAGTGCATAAAATTTTAAAAATATTATCGAATATTCAAATACTAAGACTTAGTGGTTGGTGAGACTCATCTTGAATATCCTATTTTATTATGACAGATTATATTTTAAGTTACGAAATAAGACACAAAAACGTATTTAATCTGAATAAGAATATCCTTTTTTATAAAAAAAATTTTGACTTCCAAAATGAGAGGAGTGTCTGAAAATGGAGTCCCCATAGTTTAGGGAGTTAGTTTAGGAAGTAGTTAGGAAGTGTGAATTCTTTCATGTTAATCTCGATTTTTTTTTCTTCATATTTTGCCTTTTTAGAGGAAATGTATTTAGAAATTTTCATCTTTTGACAGCTAATCGACCGTTTTCTAACAAATTATGGATTTTTTTCATTTATACCTGCGTTTATTAAAATGGTATAAACAAATATGTGTCTTAAAATTCTACTCACTTAGATTATTAATAAAATGAAGAACAAAAAAATTCTTTTTTGCATGAATGAGCACTGTTTTTATAATGTTCCGATTTAGAGAAATGCTCAAAACGATAAACTAGCGGCATGGGGCTCCAATCTTATCTCGGAATTTTACGCAATTTTGTTAAGAAATAATAGTGGTTTGAAATATCATATGATAACCATGGCTAAAAGTAAGACGGTAAAGAATAAAAACTGGTAGCAAAAAAACGTGGAAGAGAAATAAGCTTTTACTATATTTAATTCAATACTATTCATAACTGATTACCTTATGATTGACTGATGATTAACTGATTATTCATAACTGAGTAAAAAAAGTCGTAAATATATGCTTTGACTGGAAAGAAGTATCTAGGTAGTTATGGATGTATTAATCTTTCCGTAAACAAGCTACAATGAAATAATTTTTCTATCAGTTTTCTTTTCTCTTTTCCTTGTTGATATACATTGACATTCATCCCTGATGCAGGGATACTACAGGTGACTAAAAACGTAAAAAGTGGTCGAAACTCCGTTCACTTTTATTTATTTTGTGATCTCTTTCATTATTAATTCGCAATTACCACTATCAATGACATTTCCGATTATTCATTAAAACAAAAACATTCCTCTTTCAATAGTAAACTAATAAAAGTATGCAGTTAAAGGGTGCTCATTTTAATTTCTTTCAATAAAATTTTGAAATTTAGAGTCAGTATTTTTTGAATTCTTAATCGCTCGTGGCAACCCTGCTAATGCCTATCTTTCTGCTTTCGTCTGCTTTTAAAGTCGCCATAAACACTCCATTTTTTAATGTTTAAGTATTCGTTTTTTAGGAAGATGTTGGGCGTCCTTCCGCTGCCTCATCGTCCACCGTGGCATCCATCCTTCGCCGGAGGATGTCCTGGGGAATGTGTCCACTCTTCAGAAACGCTTTCTGGGATCCCAGCCTGGAGGATGCCTACCAGAAGTACTCGCACAGGCAGAGAAGAAGATCATTGGTCGTCGTCAATCTCATGGATATCATCTTAAAAGTGAGTTATTGCTCTTTTCCTTCAGAATCGCCAACCCGCGTTTTAAATATTTAAGAAAGTGGAAAATCGGCAACTAAGCAAACGTTAATATTTTAATACTTTTGTTACCACCACTACATTTGCATTAATATTTCACTGAAAATGTTATCGTATAAAAGTAAAAATACTGAGATCTTGAGATCTCCCTGTCCGCTGGGCAGAAAAAAAATAACACTGCACGGCGTGGAGGTAGTGGGTTAGATTCCCACAGTAGCCCTGGATGTATTCTTCGTGCTGTTCTTCTCTTTGTTGTTCTATCTGTTTTTCTGCTTGACAAAGGCTTATAATCCTAAATTGATCACATAATCCTGCAAATATACGTAATTTCAATAAAGTAAAAATACTTCTAAATGTTGAAAGAGTATATCTAATAAGAAGAAAATCCTTACGAGCAGTTTCTTATCAAAATTTTTAAAACTCTAATTGAAATAGTATTGCAACACTTTACGCAAACCATACTTTAAGTAAAATTAAGGAAAATAAGCTACTAATATTTGAAAGATAAATACTCAGAGCTGTTAAAGAAAACAGTGTTTGTCGGATTCAGTACAATTATGTATTATACAGAAGCAACCAAACCCAATTTCAGTTATTAAATCTTAGAAAATAAGATGACTGGGTCCCATTTATAAAAAGGGCCAAGTTAAGAAGCTGAATTTTGAAAAGTTTACATGCAACCAAAATAAGAGAAGACCAAACACGAGGTGGATCTTAAGACCATGGATGGCTTCAATGGATGGAGTGTCTTATCGAGCCAGAGGGAAATCCTGATCTGCACTTAGCTGTCATGCTATTGGAAGGAGAATATACGTTAAAAATATATTTATTTTAGTTTCCATCCTACTTTAAAAACAACAATTGGAAATTTTTAGCTGAATATATTGTAAATTATTAACATGTCCTATAGACCGAAAACTTAATGAAAAATGTCTTTTATCACATTTTATTCTCAGTATGATGCTGCATCTTAGTTGTTGTTCTTTGTTGTAAAGTGTTGAACTATTTACTCTGCCTACAACTATAATACATAAGTTCGTATAAGACACCACTTTTTTTCCATCTATCCCGCGGTGGCCCCATCATCACTGATGTTCCCCACTCCATGAAGATTACTATCCAATCTTGTAGAGTTTGCTTTGCAAACCGTGTTCGCTGCTCTCGCAATTAAGTTAAATCTAATTTGAAATTTAGTCTAGCATAAAATTTGAAAACATTAAATCAATAATTCCTCTTTAAAAATTAAAATTTTTTGTTAATGAAATAATATAAGTTACTGAAATAAAAAGGTTTAAATTTAAATCAATGATGTACTGTCGTAGAACTTGCAGAAACAAAACAATAATAATGCTTTTAAGAAGCAATTACTATTAAAAATTCAAAGCTTTGTAAGAAGCACAGTTATAAACTTCAGAATTTTGAGCTATCACTGTATAGGTGTCAAATGACCTAACTGTTAGGAAGTTAAATTTAAATTTCATGCAATAGCAGCTTACTTTCAGAAAGTAAACATTAACTATACTTTTAAAAAACAAAAGAGCATGACTAATACTTATTTTTCAATTAATAAAATTATTATAAGACCTGCATAAGTATAATTAAATCATAGCATCGAATAATTTATTTGTTGATATGAACTCTTCGCTTTTAACCTTTAAATTTTTTTCACCTTATACATATAAAAAAATCAGTGGAACATATTAAAAATACTATGGAAAAAAGAGGGGGGGCGAAACTTTATGGAACATAGCAGAAGCTTATTAATTTATATGTATTATTGTTAGTAATTTGCATTTAGTAAGTTTACATGATAAAATGAGTTTTAAAAGTTTGAGTTTTGGCTCACACGTTGCATCCCCCTATTCTGGCATTTTCAGTAGCGGTAAACATTTTGTTTTAATATGCCGGTTGTGCCATCATGAAATAAATTGAATGACTCTAAGTTCAAATCTTCCTGCAATGTAAGGAAAATACAGGGTGTTTTTTAATAGACATTTTCAAAGTCCTGAAAGGTTAATTGTGAAAAATACAAAGCATTTTTAAACTCTGAACTCATTAGTGAGTTCATGGACTGCATAGAATGAATTAAAATTATTAGAATCCAATTTGCTTGTCTAATGGAGCTCGGAAGAGATCACATTTTTTTAGGCGATATTTTTTTGTTTGTTTAAACATACCTTTTCAGACTTGTAAGGTCAATTAAGGCTTATAAACTCTTTTCAACTAGAAGAATAGATAGCAAAATACAGAGACGGACAGTACAAAGATACATTCGGGGTAGCAAGTAGATTAGAACCCACTACCTCCACCCTTTGCACACGTGTTTGGCGGACGATACCGCTCGGTCAGGGGGGCCTCTCTTGGAGAGTTTCATAATTTTAGCATTATATTAAGAGTATATTTATTAAAAAGAAGTTGTTAACAGTTTCGATATTTTTTTTAACTTTCTTTTTAGAAAAAACTCTCATAAGCATTTACTGATAATCAAAAGGTGAAAAAAAGTGTCGAATCAGAGACAAATAAAAGTTCCGTTTTAAAATATCGTAAAGATTTGTAAAAATATCGATACTTTTTTACTTATTAAAACTTCACAATTATTCTTGTTTCTGTCTGCGTAGGATTATTTAAACAGTTAAATATCACTAATTTTTCCAAAATAAATAAGATTTACAAAGCAAAATAAAGAAAACTAGTTGTTAAAAAATTTTATTTCTTTATCCCTGTTCCTGTCATAACCATTATTGACAATTTTCGTTAAAAAAAATTTTTGCTTAATTTTATAGATTTGAGGAACACATCAAATAAGAAAATATTTGCTTTTGCTATATAAGTGGGCTTTATATAAACTATAGTAGTATATTGGACGTGGATTTTATTCTTTACTGACAGTATTTACAGACTTAATAAAAAACATACTAACTTTCAGCCTGATAGAACATTTCTTTTTTGTTAGAACTCTCAGAAAAGAAAGACTCTCTTTAGAGTAGCATCTTAAGCTAAAAGAATAAACACAAGAAAGAACTTAATAAAAGATCTCTTCTGACAAGCAAAGATTCAATTCTTTCCTTTATAGAAAGAGTGGATTTTGCTTGCGAAAGACAATATGTTTGTTTTCCCTCCTTAAAATGTTTTTGGAAAAAATATTTTTTTTACCCCGAGAACGAACAATTCAATTTTCTACTTATTTGGAATTCCTTAGAAATAAACTTAATTAAACATGCATTCGAAGAAGTTCAATTACAGTGAAATTCTCAGGTATGTCGGTTATGGTTGTTATGCAAATAAACTAAAATTCTCCTTTTAAGCCTTTCGGTCCTAATTTAATTTAATTTATTTTTACATTACTTTCACAACAAAGTGATATCACCTAGAAGTAAATCAAGTATTAAGAATTCTCATCCTAAATGCTGATTAAAAGTGTTTAAAATAACTTATGCGGCAATTCTGTTACTTTCGCTTCTACAATGCACTCTTATAACAGCATTTTTTACTTTTTGCAATTTTCATTTTTAAATTTAAAGATATTAATAAGAACCTGTTTCAAATCTTTCAGAAATTGTATTTTTTTTGTTCTACTATATTATTTGCACAGTACTATATAACTGGTGGTAAAGTTTGAATGCTTAATTACATTTTGAACAACAATATTTCAAAATTTTTCTGAATTTCTTATGCAAAACTAAGTTTAAGGCCATAAATTATTTGTTACTTATTAACTTAATCATCCATTATATGTTTACAATCAAGATTAATCCATTATATGGTTTCTACCTTTAAGAAAATGTGTTTATTATCTCTCTAGACTAAAAATCCGTAAACGCAGCTACTGTCTTGAATGTTCTACCTTACCTTACTTTTTCCTGACTTAGAAATCCATGACTTAGAAATTCGATATTACGAATGTGTGCGTGAAAAAATGAAGAAAAAATGATTAAATGTTAAACCTGTAAACCTGTAACAAAAATATTATTAGGGCCATTCTGAAGACCACAGTAATTCAACTACCAAAGTTGAAATTTGACGTGTGGAAAGGGCCAATTTTTATTTATGAATTTGAGACAAGTTTTCAAAATTAAAATTTGTTCGAAAGTTATGGCAATTTATACTAACTAAACTCATGTTTGTGAAAATTGCAACACCATGAAGGACTTACGCGAGTGAGCTGAAATTTTCAGGAAATGCAAAGTAGAGCATGATATGTAAATGATTAGAATTTCAGACCAGTAGCGCATGCGTATGCTGAGCAGCGCCCTCTGAGCTGCGGATGGATCCGAATAAATAGACGGCTGTAGCTAAGCGAGTATGGTTATCGGTGGTTATCTGCAAGTGGTAAACGTTAGCTTAGTCATTACTTATGCCTATTCGACGAAAGAGAGCAAGATTTCAACAACTTACGGAGTTTAAACAGGGGAGAATCATCGGCCTACGTGAAGTTGGATTATCTTATCGTGCAGAGTCGCTCGTGTGCAGCGTAACAGCAGCACAGTAATGCGTGTTTGAAAGCAGTGAATGGACGAGTGTCGGACAACTCGGAAATCCGGGAGTGGACCCCGAACTGTCATGTCAGCTCGCGATGATAGACACCTATTCGGCGTTGCCCTAACGGCTCCCCCTGGACAACTGGCAGCACAGTGGTCAATAGCTACAGGTGTTTCATTGTGTGCTTCATCAATTCGTAGATGTCTGCTTTAGAGTGGACTGCGCGCAAGGACTCCTTTATACAGGATGCCCTTCACGCTAAACCTTCGCCGCCTGCGGCTGCAATGGGCCAACCAGCATAGGGACTGGCGTGCTGATTGGCAGCATGTCGTGTTTTCTGACAGATCTCACTTCAATTTGTGTTACCATGATGACCGCATTCGTGTCAGACGGTATGCCGGTGAACGCCATCTTCCGGAGTGCGTTATTGAACGCCACAGTGGACGAACTCCCGGCGTTATGGTCTGGGGTGCCATACCATATCATGGTCGATCTCAATTGCTACGAATTGTGGGTAAACTGAACAGCAACCGGTAGATCAGTGAAGTTCTACAGCCCCAAGCTTTTCCCTTCCTTCAAGTTTTGCCAGGTGCTGTAATTCAGCAGGACAATGCCCGCCCTCATATTGCTAGGACTGTTCAATCCTTCCTTGCATCGCGACAGGTACAACTTCTTCCTTGGCCGGCGTATTCCCCGGATATGTCGCCGATTGAACATGTGTGGGATTTCGTTGGTCAGCGTCTCGCTCGTAATCCTCGTCCTGCTGCTTCTACAGACGAATTTTGGGTACGCATACAAACAGTATGAAATTCTCTTCCTCAGACAGACATTCAAAGTTTGCTTGACTCCATGCCACGTCGTGTAGCAGCACTTATTGCGGATCATGGTGGCTACACAAAATACTGATTTCGATCTCTGTTTATTGTTTGTTTGCTTTGAAAGTTTAATAATTTATTTGTACCACTACCACTCAACTGTGTATTAAATTTTATTCAATTTTGACGATTCCTTCATGGTGCTGCAATTTTCTCAAACAGGAGTTTATATTACAGGCTGCAGTAAAAAATCTCTTCGGACGAATATTTTTAATGTAACTTTATTAAAAATAAGTAAATGAAGAAAACGAAACGAATAATAAGAGTAGATTATAAATTTTTCAAAGTATCTGCAATGCAACATTCAGCAATGAACCGCAGGACTTATAATCTACCGATCGCTTTAAGGAGTTCAAACTTACGTGTGGTATAGAGAAGGTTGTCGACGCATATTAAACAAACGTTCACATTGTCGTTTTTCTTGCTTAAACAATTCTGAAATAGCATAGCATCAGCTTCAGATTCTAAAAAAGTCAAAGAAAAATTAGAACAGAACTCAAATCTCAGTATTAACTGATTCGTCCGATTTTCGGGACACAGAATGGGGGAATGAGTGTCATTGGAAGGAATGGGGTTGTCAAGACCAAATAGTTAAGTTATGAGTGGGAAACCAGTCAGTTGAACATATGATGAAATCGATGGGAAATTCAACATAACTGAGATTAAACTAGATTAGAATATAATAATATTTACTGGGGGTCAGAATACGCTGTTGTAATAAAATGGAAAAAAATAGAGAAAATATATGCCACTATTTACATATTTACACGAGATTGAAAAGAAAACTGTTAACGACAGAGAAAAGGTTATATAAGCGATATAGTCCGGCAACTACTCTGTCTGTGACTCTGTTATAGTAAGGAACCAGGTGTCCTGGAAATACCACTAGTTTTCAAATAAAAATATGTTGAACTAAGTAATACATTGTTAAGTATTTAATAATTAAAGTAATGGGCAAAAAGAAATGAGCACTCGAATTAAATGAACACTCGAATTTTCTATTCTATGATGCAACAAATTTATCCGAGTTTCTTTGCCGGCCACTGTACTGTATTTTCGTGATTCACCTCCTGGAACTCTCTTGAACGTACATTTCTTGCAGGTGTCTCTCGTGAGTTTCGCCTACCTGAGGGATGGACTGCATGGATTGATGAGTGTCAACCTGTGGGCTCAGGTTCTTCCATACCTAGTCATGAATTTCCTGTTGTGTTTCTGTGCCTGCAGTCGGTGCTTCTCTCACAACTATCTGCACTGGGGTGCCCTCATCACCTGCCTACTTCTCAACCTACAAGGTGAGTACTATACCGGTAATACAGGGTGTTCCGTAATAACCACCCAGAATATTTTTTTAAAAATGAAGTCACCACTAAAAGTCACAAAATAATAAATATGTAAAAAAGGGAAGAAATAAAATCCTTTCTTAGCAATTGGGAAATTATTTTTGAAGTCTTAAAGATCAAACTAGGGGTAAAAATAATTAAAAATCTGATTATTTGATCAGTGGGACAGTGACGTACTCGCCTTCCGTTCTTAATTTTTCTTTCTTAAATAAACTCTTTTTAGACCATTATAATGTTTCCCATGTTATTATTAGCCTCGATAGTGATTGGTCAGATTTCAGAAGCATTTTTTTTTCTCTCTCTCATATATAATTACCGTAAAATGGAGTTGGTTGACTTTTTAAAAGTGTTTTTTTTAAACGTTATCTCGTTTTTTTGTTTTGTATTTATTTTTCTTTATTTGTATTGACCCACTACAAGGCTTGGTTGAGTTTCTCCGATAACGGCATTGGACGGGGTTTGATTTCTCTGTGGTTGTCTGATTGGATTACATTTCCCCAATCTTGTCTTAGTGGTTCGGAATATACATAGTGTCTCAAGCAGTTTCAGAGCCGATGAAGTCCAGATATTGTGGGATGTTCACCATCTGAGCCTTGATCTAAATTGTGATATAGCATTGTCGTTTTCGGATCGACTTCATGGGTTAATCGACACTCTTGAAAAAAAATTTTAAACTGTGATTTTTTTTAAATATTATTCCAAAACTATTCCGTGATTTCGCTCAAATTTCGTATCTTGTCATAAAAAATAACATAAAATTTTGTATAGCTAACAATTTTAAAATGTTTGCCTTTTACTATGAAAATAATAAAAATGAAAATAAATGATAGATAGAAATAAATAAACTGGAAAATCATGGACAAACTCAACGCTCATGAAAACGATTGCACGACAAGTGACTTTTAACTTATTGCTAGACATTGATCTTAAAGCTGACAACATCAAATATAGCCCCATTACAGCATTCTTCCTGATGTGATACAGACTTTTCTCTAAACTATCACTCCATTATTTTAATCTCAAATAACACTCGCCGTTTGAAATACGACAGTTCATCGGCACCACGGTATGCGAGCAACCCAAAAGGATCGCGGCCATGAGGAAGATTAATTGGTAAATGTTTTAGCAGCCCAGAAACGAGTGGAATTACCAGGACGCTTGGGTCATCACTCTGTAACTGACGAGGTAGTTGGCCGGACTAACCATCGCTTATAAACCTTTTCTCCGTCGTTGATAATTTTTTTTTAAAATCTTGTGTAAATAGTCCATGTATATTCTCTATTATATTGTAACGTAAACAGTGTGCGACAACTGAGCTAAAAGCATCAATTCCTCGAGAGGTAATGCTAAAATGATGTTGCTTGAGAGACACACACGAGAAGTGATGTTCTTTTTTTTGTGTAGTTGAAAAGAGAGTTTTTTTCTAAGAAGAGATATTTCTTTGGGTAATATTTTGTGATTGTTCGTGTGAATGTTTAAATAAATTGTTTGGTACAACTCACGTCTTATTTCTGGTTGTTGTGACACAACAATATTCTATTTTATTACATTGTAATATATAATAGAATAATTGTAATATTTATAGTATTCTTACCCATGTAAATATTATTATATTCTAATCTAGTTTAATCTCAACCATGCTTAATATCCTATTGATTTCATCGTACAGTGATCCGACTGGTTTCCCACTCATAACTTTACTATTTGGTGCTTGACATCCCCCTAATTCTGCTCCCACCACTTCTTGCATTCCCCCATAATATGTCTCAAAGATCAGACGAATCAGCTGATGCCCCATCGAGGCAGCGCACTCAATTTGAGCCTTGTTCTAATGTTCTAAATAATAAAATCAAACAATAAATAATTATAATTAATTACATTTCAAATTGCTTAAGATTTACAAGTTCAATCATTGTGTGGAAAATATTCTTGATTTCTTTTAAATAGTTCCTGAGGTTAAATGAAATACCAAAAACTTAAAAATAGACTTTTAACCAAGCTTTCCAAGCTACCCAAGCTTAATAGACCAAGCTTTCGACCGTTCTTTTTGCTAAATTATATTGTTTCGTTTTCACCCATATTTTGATAGTTATGAATTCAAATCTATTGCAAAAAACATGAGTGTAATGAGAGCAAGAGCATATATCTGCATGATTTCTTGACTTAGTTGATAATTATTATTCATTAATTAGCGTATTTAAATTTAACTATTTAATTACAGTAGCGTTAAGAGTAGCGGTCATTGAAGTGAAAATTGAATCATTAGAACAAATGGTATTCAGGATGCCTTTCCTCCCTTTTCCTGTACCTATAATTTATTATACGTGCAAATGAATGTTTTAATGAATAGGAAAAACTCGGACTTACTTTTAAGTCTTTAAGTACTATATTTAACAATTTTAAATTTACCAATATTGTATCAAAGTATCTATAACAAAATATAGGTATTCAAGAATGTTTTAATGAATACGAGAAAATAACCATGCGTTTTAAAAGCATTTAAATCCTTCATCGTTTACCGTTAAAGCTGGAACTTGTTAATATTCTCTGTGTTTAAAGTAAAAGAAACTACCCTGAAGAATTCCCTTTTAGTCTTTTTTTTCCTCCAAGAGTAAAACTAACATACTAATGTTTTTATAACCCTGGGCAAATATTTTCCGCGAATCAAATAATTAAATTAAAGTACGCTGCATTAAAATCTCTTCTTCTTTTTTAATGTAGCACAGAAAAAAACGTTTCAAACACCGTCTCATTGAAAAATAAACTAAACCCCCCGCATTAAAATTGCAGGTAAATAATCCGTTTTAAAGTGCTGTTTTTAGTTTTCGCAGCTGATATCAGCCGTGTTTACCATTTTCTTCAAAATAAAGTGGAAGATATAAGTCTCCCATTTAAAAACAATCTTCTAAGCTCCCCCTCCCTGCACTTTTAGAGAATGTTTTCTTTAGGTAAACAGAGTCCAGTTAATTTTCTCTGGGATCTTTTTTTAAAGGATTGTTTTTTAAAGATATGTTGTAGAAAAACCAAATTAAAAGACTTTAATGTTTTCTATGACATTAGATAAATGCTGATAATTGAGAAAAAATTTGTTTCAAACTGATCTTGGCTGTATTTCGATGTATTTCGATGTATTTGTATTAATTAATTGTTAAAATTTCAAACATTAACGTTTTGTACGTAAATATTCTTCATTTACGTTTTTATAAAAAAAAATAAAAAAAAATAGTAGTCATAACATAATTTAATTATTCAAATTTATCTCCATTAAAAAATTTTGAATGAATTTTAGGGTAAATGTGATTAATCCGGCGCATAGTCAACGATGATCGTTTATAATCATGACAAAATTTAGTAATTGTGATATATTATTGCATATTTACCAAATATACAACTTAAGACGCTCTACGATCTGGGACTTCGTGGTAATTTACCCATCATCTTGAAGAACTCTGGAACTTTGGTGGTAAAACTGGGTTTTCAGGCCTCTTCATTCAGGCCGAAGGTGTTCCTCAAGGCAGTGTTTTAAGTGTCATACTTTTTATTATTCGAGTTTCGCTTATTTTGAACATACTACCACCTCATGTATTTGGATCACTTTATGTTGAGGATGCTTCATATTCTGGCTCTGATATGCGTGTCATTGATGCCCAGATGCCCTTCAAAAAGATTTCAAAATGATATGAGCAAAATGGTCACACACAGTCACCCACGAGAAGCTCTTGCATACGTTTTTGTCGATTACGTAGATTACACAATGATCCTGTTGTTTCTATTCGTAGCGTTAATACACCTATTGTGTCGGATACAGAATATATAGGCATAATTTTTGACAACAAGCTCACTTTTCTGGCCCATATACTTTATCTTAGAAAATGTTGTGAAAAAACTTTAAATGTGTTACATGTTTTCTCAAATACTTTCTGGGGTGCGGATCGCAACGCCCTACTCAGAAATCTACAAAGCGTTGATAGTATCATACATAGATTATGCTTGCGCAGTCTATGGCCGTTCAATCGCTTCAAATGTAAAGCGGTTAGATAGAGTTGTATATTGCTATGCAAATTTGTAGCAGCACATTTCGAACGACCCCAGGAGAAAGTTTATATGGTGTATGTAATCTGTCACCTCTCTATTTTCGGTGGTATACAGCTCTGTCTCACATTTTACTTTCGTGTTATGTCATCTAACTCACATCCTCTTCGGCATGAGGTTATTCCATTAAGCTTACGACGATTATAGGATGCGCCACCCTCATACATACCCCCTTTTAATGCTCGTATGCGTTCAATCACTCAGACATTTAATTTTTACGTATCACCATCTCAATCAGCTGATCACTTACCTAACAAACCTTGGGTAATTTTTTCGTATCACATTTATTCTCCATTTGCTTCATACAGAAAATCCAGTATAGCTCTTATCGTGTATATTCAGCTATTCATCTCTCATCGTTATAAGTATTCTCAGTATGTTTCCATCTTTACGGATGGGTCAAAATCTCCAGTGCATGCTGGATGTGGAATCATTATAGCTGATCTGAATGTAGTCATATCATACTTGCCATATGTTCTGTTTTTACTGCTGAAGCTGTAGCTATTCTCATAACTCTACGACTTATCTCATTTGCAACAACAGCGCGAAAGTATTGCATTTACTCTGAGAGCCTAAATGCTTTCCTTGAGATGAGTCGTGTTAACAACGAAGCTCATCCTATTTTATGTATTATTAAATATCTATTGGTTAGCCTTCACAAAAAATGGTTTTAACATTGTTGGATCCCCAGCCATGTTGGTATTTCAGGTAACGACATGACTGATTCTGCTGCCTGATCTGCTGCGACTCTACTAACACTATCAGTACCCTTTTCTGACATGAAGAATTATATACAACATTTTAATATGTCTTTGTCGCAGCAACACTGGGATTTAAAAAGTGAGAACAAACTGCATACT